CACGTTCCTCCCTGTCCAGTATGTGTACATCCTCATCATTGAAAGAGTGTCCACTGGCCTGTAGGTGTAAATAGACTGCAGAGTCCTGGCCTGATGAGGTGGCTCTTCTGTGTTTTAGCCAGATTGTTTGGTTTCCCTGATGTATAAATCCTGACAATCCTACTGGCACTTAACAGCGTACACTATGTTACTCTGTTTGTGTCGGGGGACCCGATCCTTGGGGTGGACCAATTTTTGGCGCAGCGTGTTTTGGGGTTTAAAAGCCACAGAGACCCGGTGTTTAGAAAAAATGCATCTCAACTGCTCCGATACTCCTGACATACTCCTGACATGTACGGGATAGCTATAGGTCACTATATAGTCAGCGGTTGTCCTTCTCTCCTGGAGCTTTCTTTAGGTGGCTTTTCTTTAGGTGGTAGTAGGAGGACGCAATGTGCAGACACTCAGAGGCGGAACGTAAACTGAAAAGGGTAACAAAACTAGGAATACAAAATACACTTACACAGATAGAAAACGCAGCTAGATAAGGGTAGATCGCAACGCGGACACAGAGAAACACAGGGCTTAAATACACGGAGGGAGCAATCAGGGAATGGGTAATAGGAGGGAAACACAGCTGAGGAAAACCAGGCCTAACGAGACAAAGGAAGCACAACCAGATGCATTTACATGAGACACGGACTTTCAAAGTAACACAGGAAACATAACACAGACTGAACTTACAGACACAGACTCATAGGCAAGCACTACAGAGGGAACAGAGACGTGGAACCAGGGCAGACACAGACACTGACTGGACACGGGGATATAGCAGGCAGGGGAGACAGCAACTAAGGTTTACACAGAGACATAAACCATAAGACAGAACTCTAACAAAGAAAACAAAGACTAGAAATGATAAATAATATAATAAACTCAAAACCTTGGGTCAACGACCCAGGCATCCTAACATTGGCAGCCGTTGTCCTTCTCTCCTGGATCGGCTGGAGCTTTCTTTTGGCGCCTTCCCAGCTTTGACAAAAGTCCAGCTGGGATAACCACATTTACTCAGGGCCTTCTTGATGTGATGTTCTTCTGCCTCCCTGGCCGCTGTGTCTGTGGGGATGGTGTTCGCTCTGTGTTGTAGCGTCCTGATTAGGGATGAGTATCATTTAGGTTTTATCCGATACCGGTGCCAAACCAGTACTTCTGAAACGGTGCCGGTGCTTAAACGGTGCTCGAACCAGTGTTCGAACCAGTGCTTAAAGAATGGAGAACAAAAACTTTGTCCAAAAACCTCTTATGTTTTTATTTTTTGCAGTTTCTTTTTTTCTGCAAAATGATAACCAAGTTAGCCTTTTCTGTTGATACAACATGAAGGGAGTATCTGCCATCAAACAAGAAGACGGCCGCATGTAACACCGACAGTGTTTGCTAGTTCACCTTACGTGCATTAATTTAATAATGTGGTTGGCCTACTCAACGTGAATTACATACGAACAACAGTAAGCTACTCACCCAGAGAAGAACGGCTGCTGCCGCCACCATCATCATTTTTGCTACACTGGCAGGGCTAGGGGCCAGGACTCTCCTCTTCGGGGATGTTGCTAACTCCGGGTCAATAACAGGCACCACACCCGCAGTAGATGTGCTTGGTGCGAGGTCTTGCAGCAAGCTATCAAATACAGTGCATTTCTCAGCTTTTAAAAAAACGCTATGCATCGCCAAGTGTTTCATCAGATTCGAGGTGTTACCTCCTTTGCACAGTATCACCTTAAAGCACTTGTTGCAGGCTGCTGAGTTTGCATCTTTTGCTGTGAAGTACAGCCAGACTTTTGACCGCTTCGCCTGGCTCTAAAAGAACATACGTACCTGGCCCTGCCTACTATCCTCGGAAACGTAAAATGATTGGCTAGAATCTAAAGTGTATCACAGCTCAGGAAAAAAAAGCACCGAAATAAAGCACCGAAATGTGCGCTGCTTTTCGGTCTGGTTACTACCGTTTATGTCACCGGTACCCATCCCTAATTGGGAGTGGACCTAAGGGGGCGGTGGACCCCCTAATGTTCCTCTCCATTATCACATGAGCCACGGTTAGAAAACAGGTGTGGGTCACAATCAGCACAGGTTTCGGGTGAATCCATTGTGAGACCTAGCCTCAGCCTATCATGTGACTTACTGAGGTGAAATGACCCAGGATGTGAATGGGTGTTAAGGCGTCTGGGAAGGATCTCAAAACTGCATTATAGATGGCAGACAGTCGGTGTCGTAAACCTGTCCCACTGTTGAAAGATGGTCATTCACAATGGACATAGATGGCTTCTTTCACTCCTCTTTCAAACTATCTATCTTCTCTGTCCAAAATGTGGACATTGGCATCCTCTTAGGGACACTCCCAATAGGGCTTAAAAGTCTGTGACTGTCCACCAGTTGCTCTTAGAACTGAAGAAGCTGAAGAGGTGAAATGTCTTAAAGAAAAGTCCAGACACTTTTCTTTCCAAGGTTCTTAGACTACGATGACCTGGATGGCTGAGAACCTTCACGGAAAAATCTGCCTTAAATTCTTGAATACATCAATACATTACATTCGTATCAAAATGCCAATATACCATTTATCTCTTGTTATTTTCTTTAGGTACATCCACGTGCATAGCATCTGGCGATCCACACTACACCAGCTTTGACAAACGCAAATATGACTTCATGGGCAACTGCAGCTATCTGATGTCTAGTCCATGCAATGACACAACTGTGCCCTACTTTGAGGTCCATACTGACAATGAAAACCGGTATAACAGGCCGACCATCTCCTATGTGAATGCCGTACATGTATACGCACAGATGATAAAGATCTCCATTCTCAAAGGTGGCACTGTGCAGGTAAGAAATAAAAGAAGGAAGGAAAACCAATCACGCTATCACGTTATCAGGCACTACTGCATTACAAACAAACATCATTCTGTGGTACAAATCACTGCACATGCTCAGGAACACTTCTGAAAACCACTGCAATAGACCATGGAAAGACACTTGCACTTACACTTACCACTTTGCACATGTTCAGGACTTGAGTGATCACATTTGTTAATCACTCAACTGGCACTGGTTTCGCTAGCTACCAGTGCTAGCTAGCGAAACCTGGCTAGCACTGGTAGCTAGCCAGGTTTCGCTAGCTACTAGTGCCATCGGAATGACAATAGTTCAATAGTTGGATCTTGATCCTAACATTCAGGGACGTCGAGTTCCAAAGAGATAGGTCCTTCTCTCACCCCAACCAGTCGCAGCAGATGGCCGCCCCTCCCTGAGCCTGGTTCTGCCGCAGGTTTCTTCCTGTTAAAAGTCGCCTTTGTCGCCAAAGTGCTTGCTCATAGGGGGTCATATGATTGTTGGGTTTGTTCTCTGTATGCATTATTATAGGGTTTACCTTCAAATATAAAGCACCTTGAGGTGAATGTTGTTGTGATTTGGTACTATATAAATAAAATTGAATTAAATTGAGTAGAACTGGAAACATCGGAAGACTTCGGCCGCCTTCCCTACTCTGAAGTCGCATCCTTGTCTGATGCCAGTATTGATCTTGAAGAAATCCGTTGAGAAATCATCTCTCCGGACGCAGCAGCGGGAGTTGGAGTAGAGACCACAAAAGGCATCTACAAACTTGCTGGAGGACTTCATATTGAAGTTAGATAGCCCTTAGAGTCAGCCGGTGGACGCTGTCAAAAGCCGTCTGAAAGTCGATGAAATTAATAGAAATCTTCTTTTGGTATTACGATGTTTGTTCAATGATCATGCGGCGGGTGAAGATTTGGTTGACTCAGGACTGGCCACTCCGAAAGCCAGTCTGCTCTTCTCCCAGTCGTTCGCCCACTGCACATCATAGCAAACTCAAAAGAATGAGGAAAAACCCTTTGCCGGGTACCGACAGCAATGTGATGCCCTGCCAGTTGTTACAAATCACCTTCCTTCCGAAGTTTGATGATGACTGGGATCCACTGTAATTGAGCATTTCAGGGAGGATCTCGTCCAGGCCAGCGGCCTTTCCACTCTTGAGGAATCGGATCGCTTTCTTGACTTCGGCGTGTGTTTGACTCAACATTGGTCTTGCTCAGCTAGGGTGAGCGGGATTCGTCCATTTTTCTCTTGGATTTGGATGCAGCAGCCACCGCGAGCCCCAGTTAGATTTCGTACAATGCAACATAAGGTTCAGGTATCGTTCGGCTGCTTCTTGGGCTTCCATGCCTTTGGTTTAGATCCACTCTCACTTGTCACACCAACTGCATTTCACCTGTCCGACAAGGTCTTAGTATGTGGCCGTGGCCCTCTTATGCTGCTCTGCAGGAGCATGCGGGTCAGAGGCCAGCTGGTCCTGAACCAACTTCACCATACAACTTTGAACGAGAACCGGTTTGGGACTGGCAACGGCGGAGTTGATGTAAAGAAAACAAACATATAATAACATCAAGAAAGGCTTCCATACGACATCACCAAAACCAACTACACCCAAACCAAGAACTCCTGGGCCAACTACACCCAGACCCACACAAACAATTCAAAGACCGGTTGTGATTTTGTTGCGTTAATGTAACACAGCTATAATAGTGCCCATGTGCCAATTGTTATTGAAATGGGTTAGAGTGGAATCAAGTTGAAAATAATCAATTTTTATGTTGTTCTTCTTTCTTTTTTTGGTCTTAATCTGTTGTTCAGCCATCATTGGCATGATGAGGGAACATTTCTTTTTAGTTACAGTTAGTAATGTTGTGACATGGGTAATTCGAAAATGAAAATGTTGGCTAATAATTGACCAGATTTGATGTACTGTGCCTATTTCCCCATACAGGTTAATGGGACCAATGTCAATCTGCCACTGTCCCCGGCCCCTGGTATTTCTGTGTTCAAGTCAGGAAAACACTACACTGTCTCCATGAACTTTGGTGTGACGGTTCGCTATGATGGAAACGCCTTCATGGACATCAAAGTAATCGAAGAGTGAGTGAAGACCAAATTCATGGTTTCCTTATAAAGTGGTGTTTTAATCACAAGTTCACCAGTCCAGAAATCTACATCCATACTGATACAACTAAAACTATAACGCATATTCATATACTGAACATGAATCCTTTATCTGTAAGGAGTAGTAAGGTGATAAAGGCAGAGACACAGCTAGGATATTTTATTTAAACAATTTAGCAGGGGCAACACAAACAGCTCCCTCAAAATTTCAAGATAAAATCACACAAAACTTCTAATTTCCTGACTAGTTAATTCTATGCTGATGCTATCAAACGCATCAAATGTACATGTCTGAACTTTTAGTCTTACTAATGTGTGGGGTTTAGTCTACTGCTGAAAAGAAACTTGGCTGCAATTAAAACACGTTGTAAGACGTAGTTCTGGCTGACTTGTTAGTCTTTCTTGCATAAGACTCTAACACAATCATTTTCTGTAATCTGCAGCTATCAGAACAAGCTGTGTGGCCTGTGTGGCAACTATGATGGAGATACCAAAGATGACTTCCGCAAACCAGATGGAAGCTTAGCTGAAAATGCCAATGACTTTGGACACAGTTGGAACATGAATCCAGAGTGAGTATTGCAGAGATGCAAGTGTAAAGAAACATTTACCATTGACAAAAGACAAATGTTCTTAAGATGATGGTCTGTCTTGACAGATGTAATAAGAAACCCAACACTACCATCCCTGGGTGCAATGAAGAAGAACAGGAACTGTATGAAAGCTCTGGATATTGTGGCATTCTGCTGGACAAAAATGGACCTTTTGCTGTGTGCCATCCCAAAGTCAACCCCAATGTATGTTCATGTAGAGGATAGTGCACATATAATGAACAAATGTGGAACCGGTCCTTATTCTGAGCTTGTTGTATTTGTGTATGTGTGTGTGCATTCAGGGTGAAAATGTGATATTAGTAATAGTGGAATAATTTGAATATGTGGTTTTAGATGGTCACACAATATAAAGCATTGTAACAAAGTGATTGTTTGTTCTCAGAATTACTTCAGGGACTGTGTCTTTGACTTGTGTGAGCTGGATGGTGCCAAGCCCATTTTGTGTGAAGCCATTGAAGCCTATGTCAATGAATGCCAAGATCGTGGGGTCAACCTTGGACCATGGAGGAATGAAACCTTCTGCCGTGAGTATTGGAAGGACAAATGATTTAATTTAGTAGTAAAATATCTTTAGGTATATCATTAGGTAAAAATCAGCTTGGCTGAGTAGTTGGGAGAAAATAACACAAAGAAGTTTATGTCAGTTTTGACTTGTGGAAGAGTACTTCATACGGGCTTCCTACTCACTAAAGATAACTGAGGGAGTGCTGCTTTAGCATACCTAGTTGGGCAGACAACATATGCCAAGAGGCTGCAGGAGACTGGGTTACCACCAAACTCAAACAATCTAGTTACACGGAAGACAACACAGCTGGAAGTGCCAAAGACGTATCTCTTTTCTTGTGAAAAGCTGTCATTTTCTATTTTAACCAGCACATACTTTTGTTTCCTATCACTAACTTCAACCTCTTGTGGTCTGCTTAGCACTGAGCTGTCCCCCAAACAGCCACTACGAACCTTGTGCAGATCCTTGTCAGGAAACATGCTTTGGAAAACCCCCCTCCTGCTCTGGTCCCTGCTCTGAGTCCTGTGTGTGTGATCCCAGCTATGTCCTGAGTGCTGGCAAGTGCGTTAAGGAGAACATGTGTGGCTGCAACCACACGAACGGCCAGTATTATGAGGTATGGTGAAGTGGGTCTGATAGGCCGGCAGTGAATCATTTGGTCCTTTGTATTTCAAGTCAGGTCACTTGCAGTCTCTTTATGTCCTCTCTAAAACAACATTTTCATACATACATGCATAAAATGATCTACAAAGAATCATCTGTGCCTGCTATGCTTAATTGTCAATTTTGTTGTCTGTTTGTCAGCCTGGAGAGGAGTTTTTTGAGGAAGACTGCAAGCGAAAATGTTGGTGTGGTGCAGCTGGAATTACCTGTGAAGCCTCTGAATGCCCCCCAATGCATGAATGTAAACTTCAGGATGGAGAGCTGGGCTGCTATCCTACGAGTATGTTTGTAATGTTCACACCTAAAAACACAGCAAAGCTGTAGCCATTATATTCTAAGTAGGTTTCCAGATCTCATGGGTTGGACTGCCAACCTGAAAAGTTTTGCAACTGTGTTTGATGTGATGCTGTAGACTTTGTCAAAGTTCTCAAACTAGCATTTTCTATCCCTGCTCTAATATACATAATTAGACTGAGTAATGGAAGATAGAGAAGCACAACCCACAGGCGTCTTTTACTTTCAATAACAGTGAAATATTTATGTGTGTGTTGCTATTATGTTTCTTTTGCTCTCTTCTGTACAGTTTGTCTATAACAACACTTGTTACATGCATTTCTTTATAATGCAAAATCACAGAGTTGCAGAAAAGAAATTGAAATAATACAAATTTTTGTCTAGTCAGGAAATGATATATTCCTTGCATCTATTTTAATGCCAGTATAAGTCCAAAGCAGCAGTGAACTGCACTGTTATTAGGTAATTGTTCTACAGTGGCTTCATCTGTGTTTCAGTCTGATGTTCCTGATGTTTTTCCCTCTCTCAGGTTTTCAGGATTGTGTAGTTTCTGGGGATCCACACTACAACACCTTTGACAAGAAGTACTACAGCTTCATGGGAACCTGTACTTACACACTGGCCAGAG